TGCACCTCATTCAACACCTACTTCATCATCGAAAAAATCAACTCTATTGGCGTAGGCCTTTTCATTGGCATAGATCTTGTGTAGACTGTTTTCATCAAGGGGTTATATATCGCACAGACACTTTCTTCCTCAGAAATGACCTGCGATTGTCGACGATGTCCCGGGGCGCGCAAATTACCATCCTTCTCTGGGGAAGCAATTCTGGGTTCTCTGCTAATTACATTGAGTGAACGATCTCGTGAAAATTTGGCTGAAATCCTGAAATGCGTTTTCAACTAGGATGGACTGCTCAGCTGCGATTGTAATACTGACTATTTTGCAGCATAATCCTATAGTATTTCGGATTCGGCGGGATGTCGGCTTTTGAATGCACAGCTTTTCACTCTCATGTAGAAACCGTACTTGGTAAAAAATGACTATTTAGGTAGCATGCACTTTTCAGATTGATTTTGAGGTGGTCTTGCAAATTCAAATATCTTTTATAGAAACTACAAACAAAAGTACGCTTTCCTTCAGTTATTTGATATAAAATCACGTCGTCTCTACATTTTACATCGAAGAAGCCGTATAATTAAATTTTAAAAAGGTTTCTTATTATGAGATTTTTAAGACCGAGTAATGTCTATTCACACATCATCGTACTGATATTAACCCGATATTAACAATTCGCATTAAATGAAATTTCTAAAATTTCGTTCTCAAGCAAAACAGTGTATATGCCTGGTTATAAACAGCACTTGGCTCTACTGCACGAGAAACCAGCGGGCTCATTCAATTGCGCAGTTTATTGTTATTTTTATATTGGGGAATAAGTCAACACAACTTTACATGCAAATAAGGAGAAAAAAATAGGACATTTGTGCGCCCTTCGTTTAAGTCACATGCGAAAACTCATTCAAACATCAAACTCCCATTTCAAAAAATGGCTGTCCACACCGGACGTCTGGCACGAATATTTCTTCGATTAATGGGAAAACCTTCCCTAATATGGGACCTCTCTAAAAAGTGCTTTAATACTGAACTTTCTTAACCAATCTCTGTGTAGTTTGCATTTCTGTACGGTGAGGCCAAACATAATTTACTATTTTTGGCCGTTTCTTCCCCGTTCCTAAACATTACTAATATTTTTCTACCGTAAATTTAAGAACATGTCTTTTTCTTCTTCTTCTTCTTCTTCTTCTTCTTCTTCTATATATTGCAGTCATTTACACTGTTTTCGCTCGCTTTTAGACTCCGTTCTTCGATTAAGCATGAACGACAGAACGTTTATATAAATACTTATATTATGCTGAAACTGCTAGTGTTTTGCTCGTTTTAGTTCAGAATAAAATATGTGCGGAAGTTAAACTACACGACGAGTAGTGTTTCATATGTTCAAACCTGGAAATGACCATTCGGCGGCGGTAATTTATGTGACATCACGTAAAATCTTTCAATCGGCAAAACAATTTCGGTCCATTTAAACGAAGGAATCCCTGTCTGCGTTAATATTAAACTTCAGGGCGCCAAATCGCACAGATCTGATGATATGACTTTTAAGAATCGATGAAGCATTTGATTTTCTTAAAATAATCTTTTTGTTAGCAAATTGATTACCAAGGTTACTATCGGACATTAAATAAATTTTCGAGTCCGGCTAAATCTGCTTATCAAATCTTTTGCAAATAAATTACTTTCCCTTCAATG